CAACAACTTTGGTATGTACTTCCTGCTTTTACCTATATCAAAACAATAAAACTATGAAAGAGTGCAACATGATTAATCATGCAAGACTAGAACTACACTTACGCAATCAAACAGATTACAAACGTTCATTGTCAAAGAAAACAACAGAACTTACATAACATCAATCTATTGCTTCATTTACCTTCCCAAACAGATAAAGGGTGCCTATATTAGCTCCATATAACTCTTCGTAAGCATCAAGCATGTAAAAAGGCAGTGACCCATCTTCTTCCAGATCAAAATCTGAAGTCTCTTCACCATTTGAGCCACTGTTGACCTCCACAGTACCACTTCCAATATCCCCATCCCCTCCAGTTTTCACTGCCTTCCATCCAGCCATAGCGCTCAATGCCGGGTCCTTATTATCTTCCTTAATCTTCGCATTCAAAGTAAAAACCTCTTCCTTCTTAACCACAGCTTCCACTTTCTCCTCAACAAAATCCACCCTTTTCTCCTCAATTACCCCTCCATTTTCTGAAACATTATGTGTTTGCTCACTTGGAGGATCATCAATTTCAAAACCCAAGTCCTTCTTGCCCTCATTTTCGTTAGCCCCTTCATTAATCAGCACAGAATCACTACCATTTGCAACAACTATATCCAATTCAGCCCTCCTTGTTAAACCAACACCACCATCAGACCCTCTCTCACTCTTAACACAAGAAATCGGCATGAAACTCTTGTTCGAATGCCCCCTCCTCCGTTTCTCTCTGTCTTCCTCGTCAGGCGCAAACTCTGCAATCACATCATCCACAATACTATCGCAGTTCAACCCTTTCCCCCTCTCATTATCTCTAGTTTTCCCAAACACCGATGAAGTAAACATCGAAGACAGCCTCTGCTTCCCCATCATCGCCGCCGCAGCCGTAAGCGAAGAATTGGGCTTTTTGGGCCGAGCCTCCTTCTCCTTGTCCTTATCCTTTTTCTCGGCTCTCCTCCTCTTCGGCCTATCGCCGCCGTCAGATTCATCGGACGAAGGCCCAGCCCGGGTCCAATCCTCTTCCTCGCCCTCATCGCAATACCCCAGCCCATCGTCGTCCACAATGAAACCTCGAACCTCTTCGCGTCGTTTCGCGACGAGCGCGTCGTACTCGTCGTCACCGACCGTGTCGTAGATCGGGTTCTCCATCTTGATCTGGAACCCACCAGCTTCGGATCGGCGGCCGCCATGGCGAAGAGCTTTCAGGCGCTCGAGGGCTCCGGCACGCGCCGACGCCTCAGCTCCTCGGTTCCGCCGCCTCCCGACGGCCCCAATTGGCTGCTCGTCGTCCGCCATTGATATGTCTCTTCGATCTCAGTGCCAGACTGTCAAAGATACATACATATATAAATATCAATACAGCACCATAACCCAGAATCATATCAATACATTTCCAGACCAAAAATTCAATTAATCGACAATGAAAACATAAGAAAAAAAATTCATCATTTTGAATCAAAATAAATAAAAAGACCGTTAAAACCGACCTTGGGAAAGAATCGCTGTTCGCTAGAGAACCAGAAGCTCTGAAAAGTCTGGGTCTTTTTGGGTTCTCTTGAGCCTTCTTCTTCCTCCAGCGGCGACAGTCTCAGGTTGAGTGGAGGTAGTGGTGCTAGGTGGGTTACATTCTTTACTATCTTACCCCTGCTTGAGTTAGCTTTAAGGAAGAGGGAGTCACAACATCAAGCGGGCTGGTTTTTTTCTGTCTTAGGGCTATTTTTGACATAAAACTTTTTTGTGGTTTTGGCGGGAATGGGATTGGATTTTGGTGGGACAAAATGGCGGGAATGGTAGAGGGATCGTTTCCTTGACTCGGTGAGCTAACTCGCATGCCAGGTGGCGCTACTCTATTCTATTAACTCTTCGTTTCCTTGAAGTGATATTATTAGCAATGTCAAAAAAAAATTATTATTGAAAATGATGAGTGATAATAGTTTTATTCAAAATATTTCAAATATCATAACGAGGGGAGATACACAAATTATCACATGTACACTCATTTCAAATGATGACTAGCTTGCTTGTAGAATCATCCCAAATGGGGGTACAAGAGTATGATTTGTGTTTAATAGCATGCTTAGTGTGACTTCTCCAAATTAACTAAACTTGTAAGATTATGCAACATCTTTAATTAAAACGATATTTGATCAGGAATGATTCAAACTCAAAACCTCGCTTAGGATTAAGCAACTTTTTGTGAATGTTATAACTTTTAGATTATCTCCATCCCAAATCAAGCATCTCCTTAAGCTTTTTGTTGAAGCGGCTAATAGAGTTAAGCAAGTATGCGAAGGGAAACATCTTCTCTTTTATAATAGTTAAGGAGATGCTTAACTCTATTAGTTGTGATCAAATCTATCAATAGATTTTATGTAGTAAGGAGATGCTTAACTTTATTGCTCAACTCTAAATAAAAATCTAAGCCCACCAAAGATATCAATGACTTAATTGTCATTCTTGTTTAATTAGAGTATTAATTCATGGATTTTTTAAGATGTGATCAATTTTTTTGAGGGAGAGGAACTCGAACTTAGATATAAGGAGATAGACTTACTATCCTAGCTCTATTCAAATGTGATCAAATTATTTACAAACATAAAATTTTATCTCCCAAGTTAATGTCATTAATAATTTAGTAATTAGTTACTCATTTTCCTAATGTAGGGAGGGATTCCAACTATGGGCTGTTCACCCATAAAATAAAATATGGGGCAATTGCAAAGAATCAACTAGTGCAGTGGTTTGGAGCTATTGTTCTCCAAGTAATATCCTGTGTTAGAGTCCTAGGATATGTATAACGTGTGTAAATTTAGTATATTATAAGCCATCTCAATAGGAAAGATCTTCAAAAATTATAATAAATAATAAATGGAGGCAGTTTGGTGTAGAGTGGATTTCAATACGTCATCATTTTTAGGATGTATCGTAGTTGTTGAAACAGAAAATCATCTTACTAAAAACAAATATATATGTTTATGAATTGAAGTCCATTGCGTAGAAGTTGAACCATGCCAATAGAAAATTCCTAGCCCAAATCTAGATATGTCTTCAAGAGAAACGCCTCTCTTTCTAGTGTTCAACATTGTTATATTCCCAGTTTAATGATTGATCGTATATAAGTTATCATTAAATATGTTTGTAGTTCAAATTAACAGTCTGACAATATACCATGTTAAACTTTAGCTACGATTTAAGTGTAACAACCCTCGCCACCATCTTAATTAATTATATTCTAATTCTTGTCACACTATAAACATTATGCTTTACAGGCATATCAACTTCGCATTAATTAAGGTCGTAGGTAGCTTTAGAATTATGAAAATAATGGATTAGGTTCTACAAGAGACAATTGCATAGAGGCCGTGACTAGCCGCACCTAAAAATGACGCGCCTAATCTCAATATTAATTAGAAGCGTATAAAGATGGGATGGACATATCTGCATATACATACGAATTGTTTTCTATTATCAGCTGGGGAATAAAAACAAGAAACAATGAGTCAACTCAACTGGTGATAGGGGATTGAGTATTGGGTTAGGATTAGAATAAGCTCATGATTCGGTTCATTCTGATGACCGATGTAATCTAAAAGATAGAGTAAGAAATCAAAACAAATTTTAATGATGCAGTTGTGTTCGTGTGTTTTTTTTAGTGTTGATATGTACATCTGTTTTGAATTTTATTTTTTTTATTTCATAACGAAAACATTCAACCTTATATAATAAGCGAACACAATGCATTCGAAGATTTTATTTATTTATTTTTAAATAGACAAAAAAGAAAAAGAGAAAAGGAAAACAATGATTCTTGCGTGCAATGTAAAAAGCTACATGTTTTACAACAGATATAAGATGGTTTTTATTATCAAATTAGTAGTTCACTATATATCTTTCTTATAAAATAAAAATTACTATGGCCGTTGTAGTTTTAAGGAATTGTTATTTACAGTTCAAAATAGTCACCATTCACTTGTGTAAATGCAATTTTTCTTTAAAGCGAAAACATCAAAATAATTTTTTTAAAGTACCAATAGCAATTCCCTAATTTTATTGATAATAATATTAATCTTCAAATTTACAAGTAAGACTTCAAATCTTGTCTTCTCCTATTTTTAATAAAAATAATTCTTTTTTTTTTAATCCTAACAAACCCAAATTTAAGTGATGATATTTAATTGGACATAATATTTGTGAAATAGTACATCATCTAACTCAATTGAGACATTATTGAAACAATAATAATGTTATTTGTAAATGTAGTCCAAATAATAACACTCGCCAGTATATGTGAGATCCACCTATATTAAAAATATTGTCAATAATACGGTCAGTAAATGTGATCCAAATATCAACATCCTTTCAAACAAATTCCTTATATCTTAATCATACAAAAAAATTATGACTAGAAAAAAGGATGGCAACTAGCTAAGTGTAACAAATGACCCTTTAACTTTAACAAATGTTAAATATAGTAAATATACTCACAAATTTACATTTATTTTATTTTACTTTTACGATTTAACAAAAATTGTACACATTTTGGAAAACCTTGGGTCTTAAGCAATTGAATATCATATCCAAGTTACTATTTTTGGACATTAAATGTATTTTCACAAACGCTGGAGAAATAAGATGGGAGCTCCCAACGAACAGCCAAATCGAGCCCCGCGTATTTACATTTTCACTCAAAAAGCAGAAGCAGCAGCAGCCAGCAGCCAGCAGCCAGCAGCCAGCAGCTACTTGTAGACACAGCAGATCCTTTTCCGATTCCAAAGAGTCCCATCACGCCAGCTGCCATTAACCTTTTCCACTATTTCTTCTTATTCTCTCTCTCTCTCTCTCTCTCTCTCTCTCTCTCTCTCACTAAGCTCTTAACTCTTCTTAAGCTCTCCCTTCTTGCAAAGCCACAGCTTCACACTTCTTCACACTTCTTCACACTGACCCATCAAACACAGCTCATGAGAAAGCAACAGAATTTGAAATGTCTGATAACCAAACAGAGCACATGAGCGACCACCTCTCGGAGCAGACCTCAATTTTCGGTCTTCGTTTGTGGATCGTTCTTGGGGTTTGCGTTGGAGCTGCTTTTGTGCTCGTTTTGTTTCTCATTTCCCTCTGGTTGGCCTCCAAGCGATCCAAGAACAAAACTTTACAAAAACCCACAATCCCAATTGTCTCCAAAGAGATCCAGGAGATCAGGGTCGACCATGTTCGGACCCAAGTCCAAGCTTACCAATATCCTGAACCCGACCCAATTCCCAGAATCGAAAGGCAAGCCTTGCTGACGCCTACAGAGGATGAGAGCCCAATTGGGTACCAGAAAGTTCACATTGAGATTGGCAAGGACCATAGGATTACTTATCCAATTGGGTCTTCTTCTTCTCATGGAAGTGGGGAGGCTCGTGCTGTTGATCAGGTGGCTATGGTGGGACCTGAAGTTTCTCACTTGGGTTGGGGACATTGGTACACTCTGAGAGAGCTTGAGGTTGCAACAAATGGGTTTGTAGATGAGAATGTCATTGGTGAAGGAGGGTATGGGATTGTTTATCATGGTGTGTTGGAGGATAAAACTCAGGTTGCTGTCAAGAACTTGCTCAACAACAGGTTCTTTCTCTCTCTTTTTTTTGAAGTAATTCTTTTCTTTTATAGTGTTGTGTGTCGGTCAGTTGAGCTCTTATAATTTGAGATTTAATTTGTGTTTGATTAATATAATTTTGTTAGACATTGTGTTGTACTAATTGACTGATGTTGTGACATTGAATTAATGGATTAAAAATGGGATATTTGAAAGGGGACAAGCTGAGAAGGAGTTCAAGGTTGAAGTTGAGGCAATTGGACGAGTTCGGCATAAGAATTTAGTGAGATTGCTCGGTTTCTGTGCTGAAGGAGCTCATAGGTACTCTGTTTTTGCCTAATTGCCTTAGCTTCATTATTTCAATTGTACCCTTTTAGTCTTGCAAACTAAAGTTTATTAATTTTATGGTGATCACAATATTGATGCAACTCAAAATCTTTTATCTTGAAGTCATTTATGTAGTACTGTTTGTTTCTCATGTGATAGGATGCTTGTGTATGAGTACGTCAACAATGGGAACTTAGAACAGTGGCTTCATGGGGATGTAGGGCCTTCCAGTCCTCTTACTTGGGAGATTCGAATGAATATCATACTGGGAACAGCGAAAGGGTGCAAATCAAATCAATTTAAAATTATGTGATTTAATCCTTGTTCTTTCTTCCTTCTCCTACCCTAATCCATGGCTTTCGTCATAACTGATTTAATCTTGTAGGTTAACATATCTTCATGAAGGATTGGAACCCAAGGTTATTCACCGTGATATAAAATCGAGCAACATTTTACTTGACAAGCAGTGGAATGCCAAGGTGTCAGACTTTGGCCTTGCCAAGCTCATTGGTTCTGAGATGAGCTACATTACAACCCGTGTCATGGGAACATTTGGGTAAGTAAGACCCTCTCCCCATGTGCACATATGTATGAGTTCATGTACTTGCATTTTCTTTCATTGACGTAATAGCAATTTGTTGCTGCCTTTTGAAGCTATGTAGCTCCTGAATATGCAAGTACAGGCATGTTAAATGAGAGAAGTGATGTGTATAGTTTTGGAATTCTTATCATGGAGATAATATCTGGGAGGAATCCAGTTGATTATGGCCGGCCACCAGAAGAGGTTTGGACAGTTTTATACTAGCACTTTGTTGAATATAAGAGCTGAATAATTTAGATTATCTTTCTCATGGTTGTCGACTTTCCCTGTTTCCTCTAATGTTTTTTAATTGAAAGTCTATAATTTTCAGGTGAACTTAGTTGAGTGGCTTAAGAAGATGGTTGCTAACAGGAATCCAGAGGGAGTGTTGGATCCCAAGTTAGCTCAGAAGCCTACTTCGAGGGCATTGAAGCGGGCTCTTCTTGTAGCTTTACGTTGTGTAGACCCAAATGCACAGAAGCGGCCAAAATTGGGACATATTGTACATATGCTAGAAGCTGAAGAGTCCCCCTTCAAAGATGTATTCGCTTCTTATTGAATATGAATTTAAGTTCTCTGTTTCTCTCTCTCCTTTGATTTCTTTTGGCACTTGAAATACTTTCTAGTTTGACATAGCATACTACATAAGAAGGTAACATATCATATCACATCACATCAGATGAATGAGCCTTTTCAACCTTTGCTGTAAATGTGGAAAATCAACTATGCTTAGAGCACTGATGCTAGATATAATGCTACTCCTAATCAACCATTTCCTTCTCCATGCAGTTCATTTATACATTTTGATTTATGACCTGATTGTGCGTTCTTTCTCCCTATTTCATTAAAATCTTTATTTCTTTCATTTCGATGTTTCAATTCAATTTTGGTACTTATCAAGTTGTGAAATTTCAGGATCGTAGATCTAGAAGGGCCGCAGAATGCTCAGATGGTGACAATGTGAAGGTTGGGCTGAAAGAGAAGCAAGTAACTGAATCCGGTGATAGTATCGGGTGTGAAAGTGGCATGCATGCCGATAATACAAGATGGAGACATCAAGAAGAAAAGCTGTGAGAATTTTGCCAAACTTGTTTGAATACAGAAGCTGGCCGTTGCAAATGGTGACAAAGTTATCCAGTTACATGCCTGGCTTTTACATAGGGTACTACTCTACATTGTTTGCTGCTTGTGTTTTTTGGTCCATATAGTTTCAAAAGAATGCCTGATTCAAATGTTGCCATTGTTCAGAAAAGCTTTGAGCATGAGTGTGCCATGTAATTTATTAATCACATTATTGCTCACTTCTGTCATTCTTAAATAAAATTCTTTTCATATATAAAAAATTCAATCCAAATGATAGTTTCTTCATTATTAAGATTGCTATTGTTGCTGAGAAATGACATAGGGTGGCATTGAGATTGTCAGTGTACTTGTATGAAGAGCCAAATATGAAATTTATTTTGCATCCATTTTGATATGATTTTAAATCAAAGCTCTAAAAGTGAATTCCCTAAATCAAATCGTCTTTTTAGACACTGAAATTCATGCTAAAGTAGTAGGTTGTTTTGTAATTTATCATAGAGAGCATTTTTGCTCACCATTTTAACTCAAGGTATATCTTCATAACCATTCTTAATACTTGACATGTGTTCGTATGCATAATCATGATTTCATAAATATAAAGTAAAAAGTTAATCATAATCATGTCTGTAGACACGCATCAACTATTAAGAAAAATGGTGAGAAGACACATTTTGGTTAAAATAATAAGCAACCTTTTGCCCCCTCCAATGACATGCTTTTTAGTTGGAACCTCCAGTTGGCAAGTGGAGGGTTATTTTCAAATTTCAAGACAGCCCACATGATAGCAATTTAGAGTTTCTATACGAACTGGGGCCAGATGCACATCATCATTGATTCATCCCCATGTAACATGTTCACGTTGTTCCAAAATAGTATGAAAAAAATTTCTACTAGTTGCAGTTTTGTTATTTATGAACGTTAATTCTTGGTTCCACGTCCATAAAAACTAATGCTTTTCTCAAACCTCTGGTGTGAACTGGCAGGGGAATCTCGACAAGATTAATGATCAATCCCTTCTAGGCTACTATATATTCTTCTTTTTCTGAAAAAGAGGTTTATCAAATTTGGGAAAGAATAGTTTAATTTGGACTTCATTTTCAAAAGGAAATGTGTGGCTACTAGCTATAAAAAAAAACCACCCCTTAGCACACTTGTATGCAACTCGGGAATATAAATATAATGAATTAATTGACTTTGCAGTAGATTCTTTGGAAATGGGTATTTGTTTCTTTCTGTTTAGGATCACATTTCTGTCCAAATTCTTCTTCCATACTACCTACCCACACCACACCAAAGGAATGATTTTTGTAATTCTGTTTTTTTTATTTTTTAAATGTGCAGGTAATATTTAGGAAAGGGATTCGAACACAAAACCTAATGCATTATGCAGAAATGCAAAAATTCAAATACAAGACTTCGAGTGCAGAGGTTTTTACATCTCTCCATTGTAGCTCGTTGCGTAGGTGGTCTAGTTAAGTGAAATCTCTAGGAGACCTGACAAACCAACTTGGCCCAACTTTAACTTTACAAAAACTTCCCACCATAATTATAAAAAGAAAAGGAAAAGAAACAAATTTAAGAAACTCTTTATTGGTTATGACAAAATTCATAAATGAAAAGAGCAGAGGAAATTGACTGTACAAAAGTTTTACTGGTTACAATATTCGAATAGATATTTACCTCAAGGCCCAGAACAATGGAGGCATGAAATTTTTTTCTCAAAAATTATGTCCATGTGGTTTAAATATTACAAGCGAGGTAGCAAGCGAAAAGTGTAACAATCATATCCAAATTGAGAGAGTCGTAGCCAAAATTGTTCCACACAGCCACAGCAACTGGACTGATGTATCCTGAGAAGCAAAGTTACTGGGAGATTGAGATTGAGGAGTGGTGGTGGTGGCGGCGGCCGCAGGTGGTGGCGGAGCAAGTGTTGGGACATCGCATTGACCAAATGTAGCATTACTACCATTTCCCTGCTCATAAATGATGGATCAAAAAACTTAGACGATTCTCATATTTCCTTGTTTGATAAGTTTATAAAGTTGTAATGGTAAATTCCACTCTGAAAGGAAATAAAAGTTGCAAACCTTGCAATATGTAATTCTGTCACACCCACATGTGAGATGGCCATTTGCTTCATCCACTGCTTCTGGGGCTCCCCCACCATCACTTTTCTGCAACAAAGAAAGCAATAGGTTAGGCATGCATACAAATATGTCCTTTGTCTACTTTGACATTATTGCAAGGATTTTGCAATGGACAACGTGTCCATAACTATACCTCATAATAATCAACAGCAATGAAATTTGGCCACCGTTTCCCTGCTGCTTCATAACAACCTTTTGACGCGCTCAGTAAGGAAGCTGAATTGTCCATGCAAGACGCTGATGCGTTGGGGAAACCGCGAAAAAAGTTCACGAGAACTAGTGATCTAGATTTTGTGTTCATGGGAGATGATTCAGCACGATTCGGACATGAACCAGGTGTCATCCCGCCATCTCCATCTGAGAATACAGTACACAAACAAAATTGAGGAAGAAGTGCAAGAAGCGCATCAATTGAATGATATGTTCATACTTTGATTTTAAGTAACCTAAAAGCAGTTTACAGAAGCTGCCTAAATGATAGAGTTTGGATGTTAAATGATCTCACTATAGATTCTGGAACAAACATTAAACAAACAGTCTGGTGAGGTGCACAACTTTGTAGCTCATATTCCACACGTTCTTCATAGTGCTCGAAAACCAGTGTGCAGGGGTAGGGTTCTTAACTAAGTTGTATTGCCTTGAATTACTAAAAAACAAAATTGACATGATGAAAAGTTTAAAAAAAAGGACTCACATTCATTTTCTACCACGTATTTCCACTCATAAGCAATTCCCTCTGAAGCCTCCTTAGCTGACTTAGAGGTGAAGACCACCAGCCTCAGATTGTTCTTAACCATATCATCTACGGTTGGCCAATCTTCCCCATTCTTTGGCATCTGATCAACCGGGAACCAATACTTTTTAAGCCCAGCTGCCTGAAAGACCTTTGTCAAGCCCTGTGGAGATTCTACATAATCTTCAATAAAAATGGTGACAATCTCCGAGGGGTTTGCTTCCAAAAACGCTTGAATATCTTTCAGCACATTAATAGCAGGTTGCTGCGGAGAAAATCAATGCACAAGCAAAATCAATAAATCAAAAGCAACATTTTCAATTTTGCAACCTTAATATAAAAACTGATCTAAGAATTTATATGTTTACTGTTGGTAAATCATCACTGAAGCACTTACAAATGCTGTTAAGTTGTAACATTTGCCACCAGTTGAGTGACATAACCAGATGTCGTTGTTGAAGTCATACATATCCAGCATAAGCCCTCGAACTCCATTCTGCCAATGATAGAAAAGCATATTTAATTTTGACCAAAAAAAGAAGAGAAGAAACTGAAAACAAGTAAACAATTCATTTCCATAATTTAGGTACACCAAAACAAGAAAAATATGTTGTGGGCAGTAGACTGTCAGAATAACTACATGGAGGAGAGTGAAGTGTTTCAGGTGGATTAGGTGAATGCTTCTCTTTTAATCAACACAAATAGCCAAATAGGCTCCATTTCTTCTTTTTTAATAAAAGGGGCAGGTAATTAGCAAAGAGAAATAAGGGGCAGCAAGGCATGTGCCTCAATGATCACTTACACACCCACATACTTAATGAAGGAGAAAAAAACCTTTCTTTTTTTAAAAAATTTGCCCTTTTGCCCTGAGAAAATTGTCATGCTTTTTAAACCTATTGATAATCATTAGTAGGCTCCCTTAATAGTATCAGTTTTCAACGCTGAAGCTACAATGCATCGTGACAGCCACACGCTGGAAAGTTGAACAAGCTATCAAGGAGCCCTACTAATGAATATCAATTTTAAAGAAATTGGAAAAAATAAAATGCAACACAGATCAATACAACACACACCAAAGTTCAACATTGAGCCTGCTTGACCACATCAATGCAGGGGATGGGATCCGCTGTCCCCATTTTCCATGTCACTCCGTGTCCCTTGTACAATTTTTTGACATGTGTCCAACAACTTAACCCTAACATAACACTGTTAACTAATAAATTAGAAAAATAAAAACTAAACATTAAAAGAATAAAATTCACAGGTCTCACATCTTGGAAGGCTTGGGGAAAATGTCAGGTTATTGCAATCCTTATGAAGGCAATTTGTGGGTTGATTTTCCCCATTGGAACCTTCACAAAGCCATCACTCTTTGAAGAAAAGTGGTATCTGGCATCCCTCCTTCACGCGGCCATGAATTCCGGTTTAAGAGTTTAGAAAGTTTTGATCTCTCATACATAATTATATAATACCTCCCTTTTCTTGAGATCAACGGTGAAAATTATGTCATCAAATCCAATTTCTCCAATTCCACTCAAAATATCAAAGGAAAAAGTGGTGAATTTTTCAGACTAGAGAGAAGGTGGAAGGGTTGGGTGCAAAGGGGATAAGGTTGGCCAGCGATGAGGAGGAGAGGCAAATGCCGTCGGTCAGATGGATATGGGTGGTTGTCAGGAGTTGAGTTGGCTGTTGAGATTAGCGGCTGCTAGGTTGTTTTTGTTTGAAAGACCTGTGAGGTTGCCATAGATAGGAGATTGAGAGACTAAGGGGAGAGGGCTCGTCTGCAGTGAGGAGGACAAGGGGTTGTGGCGGTTGAGGTGGTGGGCGCTCAAACTGGTGGCTGTTTGGTTATATTTATTCTTTTAATGTTTAGTTTTTATTTTTCTAATTTATTAGTTAATAGGGGCAGCGGATCCCATCCCTCAATGGAGCGGCAATGCCACGTCATCAGACACAAATTTTTTGTCAACCAAGAAATAAGAAAACAAAAAAAGGATAATATATAAAAATTCCATTTGTTCGGTCAACAATTCAAAAGTGACTGCCGCATCAAAATTAAAATTCGACCACGCCACCCTGCCCCTGGCCCTTGGCATGCAAGAACTTTACATTCCCGAAAAAATAAATATAAATTCCAGCAACCCAAATATTGAAAAAGTGAAAAACAAAAATGCAGGAGACAGAAAACAGAAAATAGGAAAGGGGAAAATTACAAAAAAAAAGAAAAAAAAAAGAACTTACTTTGAGTTGAGAGGCTACGGTGTCATTCTGGTTCATCGGAGTAACAAGCAAGGACCCAGTGGCTGACCTCACCCCAGCTTGAGCGAATGAGTTGTGGGTGGTTAGCCATGAATACCGATTAAATGGCAGACCTTTCACCTAATCCAACGACCACCAATTAAATTTAGACAAAATTCAAACCAAACCCACATGCACAACCATAAACAATGTTGAATTATAATTATTGATATGGGAAAAATTAATAACCTTCGATGTGGGACTTGTGGGTTGAATCCGGGTACATCTGGGTCGGGTGTTTCCATTTGCAGCGCATGTTTGGCAGCTTAACCCGCCGTCGCAATCGCTGTCTTTGGAACAAGTCTCTCCGATCTGTTTGGCATTTGGGAAACCAAAAAGGTCAAAAAACTTTGATGCCCAGAAAATGAATTACAATATAAGATAAAGATATGGTAAAAAGATGGAACCTTGAGACAGGAAGAGGAACAAAATAGGCAAACTGCGATGAACAGAACTTGAAGCTGGAGCTTCATTAATAAAGTTCCCATCTTTATGTTCTCTGCAATCAAAGAAAGAAAAAAGCAAAAGGGTTCAATTGGGTTGTGTTGTGTCAATGTGGTGGATTGAGGGGTTTATGGGTTTTCAAGAAAGGAAACAGAGATTTAAGGATGTGACATGACAAAAGGAAAAACCTTTGTATTGTAATTTGCACCTCAATTTCCAGGTATCACCTTCTTTTTCTTCTTTTTTTCGGTTGGAAAAGTTTCAGATTGAACTTTATCCAAAGAGAGAGGGAGAGATGGTGATAGAGTGTGAGAGTGAGATGAGAGATGAGATGTATATGTGCTTGAAAGAGAGAGAGTTCTGGTAGTTTGGTTTTCCCTCTCTTTCTGATGAAGGTGGGGTTGGGATGTGGGGATGGTTTTAAAACTCTCTCCTGGGCTTACATTTACACAATTTAATTTGACAAAAATATATGGGAATTCGAGGAAAGAGAGGTTTGTTTGGGTTACAGGGTGTCGCATAGATTATTTGGTATATGACACAAGTCAGATGGAAACGCGTCGGCGTCCGTTAGGTGCTGGAAGGCTCTATGTCACTTTAGCATCTGCCATCTCTTTTTGTTTTTCTATTTTTATCTGTTTATTTTATTTTATTATTTACTTTTTGTTTTTTTTTAAGGCAACTAAACCTACACCTAAAACTCATGGAACAAAAGAAAAACTTTGGAGTCCACATGAATTCGACAAGCAAACACAACATCAAAAGGTTGCATCTCCATAAACATGCTTCAATCCAACACGGTTCCCATACGCATTATTCTTTTAATTATAAATTAATCAAACATTTATCAATGATTAGATCCAAACTTAGAATCTTTTTCTAACAAAATAAAGAATAAGTATCACAAAACCAAACGATAATAGACTGGTAAACATTATAAATTAATAATAAAGTATAATCTTTTTTTTTTTATAACGAATAATAAAGTATAATCTTAAAGATAAATAATTTCACGAGAGCATTGTCTAAATTTTTATTTGAGAATGATGTGACTCACAACTCATTGATTATATTGTGAATTCAACATTTAATTAGAAAATGACTTATTATGACTCGTAACTCAGGAAATGTATTGTGATTTGACTTTGGTTTTAGGATAAGAAGAAATATAAATATTTCCTAAATAATTTTATAAAAGTCAAAAAGATGTTCTCTATTGTTATTATTACAACTACTAAAACTTTTAAGAAATTGTGTTATTTTTATTCTAAATTATAACAAAAACAAAGTGATACCATTTGACATATATTTTTGGTCCACTTTATGAGATGACCCACTATCACCTACGTATAAACTATGCATCATGGTTATGGATCATATAGATCCAATTACAAATGGAAGCTTTTTATTTATATTTTGTTTAATTTTTGTTCCTGACCAGTGAACATGCATAATTAATCAAGAGTGCTGCTAAACAAATCTTAAAATTAATTGAGTACATCTTATTATTAAATTACTAATTTACACTAATATAAAATGACCAAAAATGATATATTGAATTGAGAAACAAATATAATTTTAATAAGTACACTATACTCACCATATTCAACCCTAATCAAACATAGAGAAGTTTTTGTATTGTTTAGTGTCCACGAACAACGCAACTAATATTGACGGAAGCACAAGAAGGGGTCGTTGAATATTCGAAAGTCTTGTGTTCTTGCGTTGAATGTTCTATTGGGAGGGTACACCTATGGGGAAAAATGCCTATTTCAATGAGTGGCATGTAGGCCTTGTGCCATTGTGAGTAGTTTCAACTAATTAATTGGTTAGCTATATGGTTTTCTTTCTTAATTCTTTTGTTATATGTTTCCTTCTTTCTTTATTTTCCTTTTTCGAGTAAAGTTAGTGATGGTGGAGTTCTTATCATTATGTGTCCTTTAATACTTTTAACTACCAAATATCGTCCGTATGGATTTTATAAGGATGCTCGAAGTGTTGTAATTCATAACCTTGCACATCAGGTGGATGTTTTTTTTCTTTCTTTTCATGATACCAATCTTCAATCATATGTCCCATCCAATATAAAAACATAGTTATTTTTAAAGGAATTTTACTCAGAAATAAGAAAAGAAACTCATAAAAACTTTCACAAGATAATAGAACATATTTGGAGGGCAACAAGTTCAATCCAAAAATAAGAAATAAATAAAGAAAATCACAAGGATTTACAAGAATCAAGCTTTGAATTGAAGAAGCTAGCAAATCTACTCCCGCAACAATTTACGAAATTAAAGATTTTGATACAAACCCAAAATCTGAAAGGAGGGCATGAATTCATATAAAAAGAGAAACTTGGTTTAGGTATTAGGTATTAGTGTGAAATATTTTTTTTTTTTTTTTTTTTTTTTTTTTTTTTTTTTTTTTTGGGTTGGTATTGTGTGATAGAGTGTATTAGGGTGTACTATGAATGTTTTTGGTAGTTAAATAGAGTGTACTTAGTTAAATTGTACATTTTGATTAAAATATTAGGGTGTACTTAGATCATAAGGTGTACTCAATTAATTTTAGGGTTCATTTAATAACACTTTTAATCAATGGTGAATTCATAAATTTTTATAGCGATAGGCTCAGCAGTCAGCATTTACTTATTCTTTAAAAATAAAAAGCATCAAAACAATGAAAGGGCAAAGTGACGGAAGGACAAAGAGAAATTTCTAGGCGTGCCGACATCTGAAGGGAAAAGAAAGAAACACGTTTGGGTTCTAGAAAGATTTTAATTTTCAGCCCTCTCTTTCTCAACGGTCTGGACCATATTTGCTTGAATAAATAAACAAGTTCATCTATTTTAACCTTGTATTTGCAGTCATGTATGACTGAATTAATAAAGCCGTCCCAGTATGATTTTGCTTCATTGTACATATCAGTTGATCCGTTCTGTTAATTTGCTTCTAGACTTCTAGACTTGTAATGCAGATAATTTAGAAAAAAACACACACATACAACAAACCAAATCATGGATTTAGCGTCCAAGACCAGTATAAGGTTTGGTTTGATGTAAGCTTCAATGAAATGGGGAAGTTGGACCCTGTCATCTATATACAAGTATGCTTGCATGTGATATGAATATGATAATAAAACTTGTGTCACGCTTCACTTGAATCTTCCTTGGTTTAAGGTCAAAATTAACGTTGTACTTTACTTTCATCTTCCAACTCATTAGCAGTCTTTCAAAGGTTCTTTGGCCCATTTTTCAGGTCATTATATTTGATTGAGTGTAAACGTACATATTATAATATGAGTAGACAATGAATTTATGTTTTAGAAAATAATATTCAAAATTAAAATACATCTTATATTATAAGTGAATTATAACATCACGTGACGGTCTGAAGAATTTCTCAATTCTTTTTTGTCAAATTGAGGAGCACCTTCATTAATATTGTTTGTAATTTTATGGTGGTACAAGAAGAAGAGAGAAATCACGGGTGGACTATCATGTTACAGAGGAAAGAGGTATTAGGTGGTGTCCCACTTTTTCCCACATCATAGACGAAGATAAAGATCGATGTGAAAAACTTTCTGGCTAACACTCATTTTGGTCACTATATGCTTAAGTGGTCCATATCTTCTTGCTTAGCACGATGGAATTGAGCCATGGATTATGGATATTTATAGCCAAGAATATTGTATCACACAAATGCCATTGCATTGCTCATCAATGGCTTCCCTAGCCCTGCAAATTTTATGTACAGTTTTATCTGCAATCACTCACTTCATCAGCTCAGTTTCAGCACAATCCAATGCTTATATCATCCACATGGACTCAAAAGCCATGCCAAAAGCCTTCTCTGGCCACCAGAGTTGGTATTTGGCAACCCTTTTATCTATCTCAGACAGTCCTAAAGCATATACTTTCGGTACCACAAAGCTCATCCATACATATACTAATTCTATCCACGGTTTTAGTGCAATTCTCACTCTCTCTGAGCTTGAAGCTCTCAAAAACTCCCCTGGCTTCATTTCTGTCACTCCTGATGGCCCCCTCAAACTCCACACCACCCATACTTCTCAATTTCTTGGCCTAACCTCCTCTTCTGGTGCCTGGCCTGCTTCGAATTATGGCGAAGGTGTCATAATTGGTGTACTTGACACTGGAGTTTGGCCTGAGAGTGACAGCTTCAAAGAGTATGAAGGAATCACTGATGTCCCTTCTAGATGGAAAGGGAAGTGTGTATCTGGCACCCAATTCAATTCTTCCTTGTGTAACAAGAAACTCATTGGGGCTCAGTTTTTCAACAAAGGATTCATTGCCAACTATCCTGACTTGAAGATTGGGATGAATTCACCCCGCGATACAAATGGACATGGAACTCATACTTCCTCCACTGCTGCTGGTCGTGATGTGAATGGTGCATCCTATTTTGGTTATGCTACCGGCACAGCAAGAGGCGCGGCGCCAAGAGCTCGAATAGCTATATACAAAGTGGTTTGGTTTGATAGTGTATACAAATCTGATCTTTTTGCGGCAGTGGACCAGGCAATTCAAGATGGGGTGGATATATTGTCAATCTCCTTGGGTCATACCTTGGATGACCACTTTTTGGATGATGACCCAATTGCAATAGCCACTTTTGCAGCCATGAAAAAGGGAATTTTTGTTGCAGCTTCAGCAGGAAATGAAGGCTCTGGCTGGGGGACCTTACTCAATGGAGCACCATGGACAGTGATTGTTGGTGCAGGAACTATAGACCGTGAATTTCGGGGAATTTTAACCCTCGGAAATGGTATGCAAATCACCTTTACAACCTTGTATCCAGGGAACTCCTCTAGAAGCCAATTGCCACTTGTTTTCATGGATGGCTGTGGAAGTGTGAAGGAATTGAAAAAACTCAAAAACAAGATTGTTGTGTGCAAGGACAATTTGAGTATAAGCGATCAAGTTGATAATGCTAAGTCTGCAACAGTTTCAGGAGCTGTCTTCATCACCAATATTTCCCTCTCAGATTTCTACACTAGAAGCTCATTTCCAGCAGCATTTATTGGTCTGCAAGATGGCCAAAATGTCATAAAATATATCAAGAAGAGCAGCAAGCCCACAGCAAACTTGGAATTTAAAAAGACAGTCCTTGGAACAAAGCCAGCACCAAAGGTTGATGATTATAGCTCTAGAGGGCCGTCTCCAAGCTGCCCAAGTGTCTTGAAACCGGACATTCTAGCCCCTGGTTCATTTGTCCTGGCATCATGGTCTCCAAATAGTTCAGTATTTGAAGTTCAGTCAGGCTCTTTGTTCAGTAAATTTAACATTGTGTCAGGCACTTCAATGGCAGCTCCTCATGTGGCAGGTGTGGCTGCTCTCATCAAAGAAGTACACCGTGATTGGAGCCCTGCCGCAATTAGATCAGCTCTTATGACCACAGCTAATCCATTAGACAATACACAGAAACCCATCATAGATGTTAGTACTAACCTCCCAGCAACCCCCATGGACATTGGAGCTGGCCACATTAATCCCAACAAAGCACTCGAACCGGGACTAGTCTACGACACAACAGCAGAGGACTACATAAAGCTTCTCTGTGCAATGAATTACACAGCAAAACAGATACAAGTTATCACAGGATCCACTCACAGCTGTGTCAACCGGTCTATCGATTTGAATTATCCATCTTTCATTGCTTACTTTAACAGCAAGGGCTCAAAGTCTAGTGCAAAAGTTGTACAAGAATTTAAGAGGACAGTAACAAATGTGGGAGAGCAAAGGTCTGGCTATACTGCAAAGTTGACAGCAATGGCGGGTTTGAAGGTGAAGGTGGAGCCAGAGAGGTTGGTGTTCAAGAACAAGTATGAAAAGCTAAGTTACAAGCTCACTTTGGAAGGTCCAAAATTGCTGAAAGAAGTTGTGGTCCAAGGCTCCCTTAGTTGGGTTGATGATGGTGGAAAATACGTAGTGAGGAGTCCCATAGTGGCCACTAACCTCGTGCCAAATTCTCTATTATAAAGACCCTCATTGTATATGCCTCCATTTCTATAGAAACTCACCTGCAATCTATTATTAAATATGTGGTTAGTCTTGTAGAAGTGCTGTGAGAAGAAGGGGCATAAAATAATATGATCAAAATAAAGATAAAAAAGTCAGCAAACACAACTTTTTTCAACACTCTGTTCAATTTAGGCATTTTATTCTTCTCCTTTCGGTGGCTCTGTTATCTTTACCATTTACATTGAGAAAATGTAGCCAACGACACAAACATTGTGATCGCGATTGCGCAACTACTCGGTTTGAGTTATAGCTTTGAGTAGAAAGTGTAAAACGAAATATAAGTAAATTAAATGAAATCCATGTCCTATTGATATTCATTAAAATGATCGTGTGACCAACAAAGAACAACTCAAGTGGGAAAGAACTTTAAATCAACAAATTAAATAGAGTTAAGAGAATCTCCAATCGATATGTCAAATTGTTTCACGGACATAAAATGATAAGAGATCTCTAGCAATGACTACGTGTTAGTGTGTTACTTTGTTTTGAGTCTTGCAGAACACGTAACTGAAACCGCATTGTTTTGACATGTTTATGACTTTTTTCACACTATTTTGGCCCATATTTAGGAAGTAGATAGATGCTTCAAGGCTCATAAAGAGTACTCTTAAGCCTTTAAGCCCCCATAAAATGAGTGTCTTGAAGCACTCATGTATCAGATTTTCAGGCCCAAGCAATTAACACAATTTACACACAGTTTGCTTAAGCAAATAGCCTTCACCGACATTCCTAATTTTCTAGGCACTCCCTACTAAAACACTTCAATTTAGTCTTGTATCATTGCTAAGCAAAAGGCCAAAAACTACACAAAGCAGAAAGAAAATAAAAGAAAAGGTGCACTTGCAGATCTGATATTCCGTAATGAAGAGCAGCATATATATATATATATATGTATGTACTTTGCATCCCCATCAAACAAATAAATAAATCTCTGCATGCTCTATCAATTTCAATGTATAAACCTATGGATTTTAAGCAAGTCAATCCTTTAAATCAAAAATAAAAAACTTCACAAAATTCTGTAAACACTATATCTTTCATTTGGATCCATAACAAGTTGATCCAATTAATTCTGTGCAACGAATACGTAGGTAAAGGCTTAAAATAAACCCCAATTACAATACAAACCTATGGATTCTAACTAAGCAAGTCAAATTTTTTTTTAAAATACAAGCGATATTAGAAAGAAGGAAACCAAACTTAAACCAAACTTAAGACCACTGGCCAGGGATAAATTTATATAAAACCTCCTTTAGTTAACCCTATCTTTGATTAGGATCCATAAACAAGCCGATCGATGCAATTAATTCTGCAACAAAGAGGTAGGTAAAGGCTTAAAATAAACCCCATAATATTCATACTTTAATGCTCGAAAAATTAGCAGGTGTCAGTGCACACTGTCAACTCCTCTCCCCCATATTAATTACCATCACTTTGAAAACAATAAACAAAACACAACACAACGTGCAGCACCTTACAACGTACGTTCCAGAGATTCTAACAGCAGCAGCAGCAGATTTATATATAATATCCAAACACACACTTCCTCTTCACTCCTACTAAACTTCTCTTTGTTTTTTCTCTGCAAACAAACAAACAACAAGAAGAGAAAAAGTTCTGAGTTGGCTTGAGCCTTGAGAAAAGAACTTAAACTAGAACAATGTCAGTGCTGGCCAAGACTGACTCCGAGGTGAGCAGCCTCAGCCAGTCCTCATCGGCGCGCTCGCCCCGCCGGGCGGCCTACTATGTCCAGAGCCCATCCCGCGACTCGCACGATGGCGAAAAGACTACCAACTCCTTCAACTCCAGCCCAGTCCTCAGCCCTATGGGCTCCCCTCCTCACTCTCACTCCAACTCTTCTCTTGGGCCTCACTCTCGCGAGTCCGCCTCCACCCGCTTCTCGGGATCCCGCAGTAAGAACCACCACGGCGGTGGGTCCCACCGCAAGGGGTGGAGACCGTGGAAGGATCAGTTTGGTTCCATTGAAGAAGAAGGCCTTCTTGATGATGATGGCACCAAGCATGGTCTCACTCGTAGGTGTTACTTCTTTGCTTTTATTGTGGGCTTCCTTGGGCTTTTCTCTCTGTTTTCTTTGATTCTGTGGGGTGCTAGTAGGCCCCAAAAGCCCATTGTCACTATGAAGGTAATTTTTATTATTATAAATAATTTTCGATATCAATACCAATCTACAATACTTGATACTTAGTCAATATTTGATCGATTATTTGATATTTGGTCAATCATCTCATTGAATCGGACTCTAAAGTATGTACTTAGTTGATATTTGGTCAACAGTACTAGATATCGTAGATTGGTATGCTCGATACGAGCCAATCACCTTCCTTTTAGCAATCGATCACATTTTTTTCGCATACCATTATTTCTTTTAAGAAAATTGGATTGAAATGGCAATTTTGTGAGGTGGGTGTTTCTTGAATTTTGGTTGTATTTATATAAAACATGTTACATGCAGAGCATTGCATTTGATCAATTTGTGGTTCAAGCTGGAGAGGATTTCTCAGGCGTGGCCACCAACATGTTGTCCATGAATTCCACTCTGAAGTTCACCTTTCGTAACACTGCCACATTCTTTGGCGTCCATGTGAAACCAACACCTCTAGATCTCTCATATTCTCAGCTCACTGTAGCAACTGGAACTGTATGAAATCATAACCATTTTCCCATTAATTATATAATATTTTTTATTTTATTTTTGGTAATTTGGTTTATTTGGGTTTTGCAGATGAAGGGATTTTATCAATCGAGAAAGAGCCAGAGATCCATTACAATAACGTTGATAGGAAACAGAATTCCAGTCTATGGTGGAGGAGCAAACTTGGGAAGCTCGAATGGTGCACCCACTCAGGCAGTGCCATTGACACTCAGGTTCCTGGTTAGGTCAAGAGCTTATGTTTTGGGCAAGCTGGTCAAGCCCAAGTTCCACAGAAGGGTGGATTGCTCTGTGGTTATGGATCCTAAAAAGATGAATGTGGCCATTGCTTTGAAGAACAAATGCAGTTACCAGTGAATTTAATTGATTTATTTACTAATTGCCTTTTTCTTGATCATAAATATGAAGTTGTACACTGTCTTTTCTTAATCAATTAAATTTTGTTTTGGTGTTTGGATTTTGTAATGGTGGAAAAAATGTGTGCATACAGAAAGTGAATAGTAAATGGCAATGCAGATCTTTTGGACTTACAAACAAAGTAGGGCTCAGGATTTAGTTGCGGAGATGTGGGTGGCTTGGCAAACCGGTTCGTGGGTAAAATCAACCGAAACGGTCGATTTGGTTCGGTTTTTTTTTTTCTCTCTATTTTTCTTTAGTTTCATCCGTATTGGCTTGAACCGGTTCGGTTCCGGTTTCAATTCTCCAAGGACAGGGAAAATCCTAATCATTTCAGTTATGATTGGCCCACCTTTTAAACTCAAGCGTCCAGTAGTGTATAAATTAACAAGAAAAGAAAAAAAAACAAGATAGGTCGGAGAACTTTGAACTGTTGCATTACCCAAGTTGTAGTGAAGAACGATTTCCGTATAACTTTTGGATGTAAAAATTCAAATGGTGATTCTCAATAATCAAAAGCTAGAGTGAAAAATAGCCTTACCAAATAATGGTTTTTAGGTTTAATAGTCTCTTAATTTTGACCAGATTCACATTTTGGTTCCTTAACTTTCAAAATAGTTTTCGTGGTTCTTCAATTTTAATTTCGTTAGGACAAATGGTCATGCCGTCAGTTTTGTTAACTTTTTTTGTTAAATTTAATGACAAAATGTAGGGACCATTATACATAAAAATCTTTTTTTGTTTGTCAAAATGTTAGAAGAGTGGCAAATTTGATGATGTCGTCGAAATCTTTCGGCCCTAACCATTGCCTAGATAAGGTAAGGCCCAATTTTATCCCAAAAGGCAACGGAAACTCATTTTCTATTGTTAATCTAAAGCCCAGACAACCAATGGGAATTAAAGTTTATTATCGTTTTAAGAAAAAGACAAAATAATGATTCTGAAGAGTCAAAATTGTTTTAACGTATTTAATAATAATAAATTTATAAATACAATAGTAAAAAGCCTAGTAAAATTAAGGATAAGTTTCACATGTCTAACACATGTTTATGTATTTAAAAAAAGATTATTGACACAAGCATGAACCTTTTTCTCCACCACATCTACAATGAACAAGACCTTTATGGCATTATTATATACCACACAAGAATCGCATTTAAAACATTTTTGTATGAACAACCAATCATGTGTGTAGTTCCATAAAGAAGAATCATGTGTGTTGTTGTGTGCATTGCCCGTGGTCCAAAAATCATTCACACGTATCTAATACTAATTATCAAGATTTACTTTATCATGCAACTAATCAATTTGTCGGCATACATAAAACAATTTCTTACTTGCACAACAAAAATACAGCATGTATAGACTAGTCTCTAATTTATATTTGTTTATATTCAAGTCGTATGAATTATTGTAGTTGAAATTCGGACGTTAGACTATGAGTCTTAATTTAATTTAAAAAAACCCCACCAACCCAAAAATATGCTTGTAAATATTCGGATCAAACTAGCCGTGCAAGGGAGGAGGAGAAGAACGAAGTCCACATATCATGTGAAGTTGCAAAGATGAAAGATGGGTTTTGAGTTTATTACAAGTTGCCTCTTGACCCAATTTAGGTCAATTCATGTGTGTGTTAGCAGAATTAGTATTAGCACACGATGTCAATGTGGTTACTAGAAAAATAAGTTGAACTCCATCCTTGAATTTTCAAAGTCAAGAAGAAAGAGCTCAAAGCCTCACAAACACTTTCATGGAAAATCTGCAAATTTTCTTGGAAAATAATCTCAACTTCAAGTCAATCAAAATTTGTCTATACACTTGGTCACCCATTCGTGGCGCCAATCAGGACCATTTCATCTACCGAAGTAAGACCAGACTGTTAAAATCATCTGTTACTGTCCTACTCCATATTTACCGTCACAAAAAATAATCAACAAATAATTGAATCTCAGAACCTTCGACTCTTTCCTTTCCTCGGTTTCTTTTTTTCTACCCGTCTCCTACTCTGTCTCAGAAAACTACCCAAAATTATTGAATCACAGGACTGTGACCCAATCTCCAGAGAATGACCAATTGGGTGTCTCCTCCGTGGCTAGCTGCCGCAACCTATCCTCCGCCGGAATAGAACTCTGTCTCGACGACCAATCAGACTCGGAATTCAAATCAATCTTTCCGAAAAAATCTCCAAAGTCTGATGAAATTTCTGAACTTGCCATCGAAACCCAATCTGGGAAATCAAACGGGCCTCTCGGAGATGGTGATGGCTTGGTGTCTTCCAACAAAACGGCGTCGTAATCAGAAACAAAAGGATGGCTCAGAAGCATCTCAGCCGTCCAGCGCTTTCTCGGGTCCTTGACAAAACACTTTTCAAGAAAATCTTTTCCTTCTTCGCACAAGTCCTCTGGAATTTGCGGCAACTCATCTCCTCCGATCCTCATCAAGAGTTTGAAAATATTCGCGCCGGGGCTGTGATGCCAGACTGGTTTTCCACTCGCCATCTCCGCAACTAAACACCCAAGAGCCCAAACGTCAGCAGACGACTCGTACTCGTTGTCGTTAACAGATTCAGGCGCCATATACAGAGGAGTTCCTCTGACTTCGGCTTTCTGCTCTGCTTCCCCTGCTTTCTTCGCGAGCCCAAAGTCGGCGATCTTGGCCACTCCATTGTCGAAAACAAGAACGTTCTGAAGCTTCACGTCGCAGTGAACAAACCCTTTTGCGTGGACGAAGCCGAGGCCTTTAAGCAACGAATTTGTGTGTCGTCGAACATCGGCTTCCGCCAAACGACCACCGTTTCTCTTGAGCTCGTCGGCCAAAGTACCTCCGGTCGCATACTCCAGCATCAAATTGTAAAACTCCTCGCCGTCCTCGACGGTCCGATCATCTCCGAAGCAGCGGATGATTTGTGGGCAAGACCCAATTTGGTCCAGGATTCGCTTCTCGTTCTCGACCGAAGCAGAGTAGTAGGATTCAGCAGACTTGACGGCCATCAATGGCGGAAGTTGAGAAGATGGGTTTTTGGGCTTTGCGGTGTAGATGGTGGCAAAGCTTCCCCGACCGATTTCCTTTCCCCGAACCCACTCCATGGTTTGAAACTTGAAACCTTGGGTAGAATCAAAGAAGGGATTTCTCTGTGCGTGGGTTTTGAGAGCGATTTTCAGACTCTGAATTGTGAGGGTTTTTGGTTTGCTTTGGGAGGAAGAAAGAAGAGAGAGGGCATGAAAAAGTTTAGCAACTCTCAAGCCGCAGCCTCTGTATATATAGCCTCTCTCAATGAATTGGGAAACTTTAGATTTTTAATATTTTAATTTTGGTTGAAATATTTGGTGGAGTGGGGGCTAATAAGTTGATTGATATCTTTAAAGCACGTGATAGGCAAACGATATTTTTTTTTGCACAAGGACTGGTTTCCTATTCAAACGTGGTTGATAATGATACGGAAAGATTTTTACTCGCCCCACGCGGCTCGGATGTCATATTTTGTGTGTGTAATGACTTAATTACCACTGTACACAATTTCGTTACTTGGGCAGGTAAATTTGATCACCTGGGCAGTAAATTTGATTACTTGGGCAGGCAAAATGCAATTACTTGGGCAGTAAATCTGATCGCAAAAGTTTGGTCACTAGGGCAGCAGCCATTCAGATAGGTTTTGGGGGTAGTTGTCAGGGATGGTTATCCTTTCAATGACGGTATAATTCTATGTTGATTTGTATTTATATTATTGGAAAGTAATGGCCATTGGCCAGATTGGAGACATAAAGTAAATGAGGAGAAAAGGGAATGCTACTCTTAATTAATTACATAACATTAGAGTGTGGCAGTGATTGATTGGTTGTCCACAAACTCGCATCCCCAAGAATTATTACCAAATCAGAAACTAAAACATGCACTTAATTACCCTTAATTAAGATCAAATTACAATGATTGATTAGTGGTAAAGTACATCATACATGCATAAGCTTTTGTTTTTCCTTTTTGTTCTTTTTTGATAATAAACAATATAATATTATTGGTGTAAAACAAGTAGTGCAACAAATCTCAATTTGTATCGAGGACAAAGGGGAATTCTTTGATCACGAATTACAATCCTCATACAATACGTATTGGTAATAAATCAAGACGTTTTTCATACAGAAAAAAGGAATTTCTTTGTCGTTCTTAAGAACATGCATGGTAAACTTAAGAACTTATTTTGAAACCCTATCCACTTTGTTAGGGATAAGCATTAGCCTCACAAACCAAGTTCATTAAGAAATATTTTATGAGCGGTTATATGAGAAAGCACAAATAGTTTTCCCATCCCTCTCCCTCTCCCTCTCCCTCTCCTTGTTGAATAAGGTAGGGGCATCTTGTTGTTACTTCAAGAAAAAGAAATGGATTTAACGAATTTATAACCTGTTTTATTTGATTCACTTTCATTCGGATGTGGAAGAAGTGCAATGTAGCTTTCCATCCCTTTCCCCCAAGAACACACCCAAAAAAAAGAAAAAAGAAACAAGAACAAGAAGGAAAGCAACATTGAAGGCATGTCTCATGTGCACTTAGCAACGACCTGAAATTCGAAAGCCCTGCCTCATTTTCTTCACTACAAAATAAACAAGGAACACACTTTCAATAAAATAATAATAATTAATAAGCAAGACATGTGTGACCAGCTCTCGCAATATGGGCCTATATTAATATTATTTATTCCGAAACTAACTGCTCTATCTATTTCCCTTGGGTGTTAAAAAAAATAAGAACCGACAGAATTTGTTTGCATCTATCTTTCTCGCCACTGTTGGATCAACCCTTCTCCTCATTTTTTATTCAATGGAATGTCATTATGGACTAGATTAGTTAAAGCCACGTTTTAAATGTGCTTTTAAAATAACAGCAGAAAGATGTACTTGAAAGACTAGTTATATCGCACACCAACATTGCGTAAAAGTACTAAATCTAACCACCCCAGCTATATCTACCAGCAGAATCTGTACAAACCCTTCATATCATATAGTAATGCGAGGTGATGGCTTCATTTCAACTGTTGTCTTCTAAATTCTTCTTTATTGGCTCCGAGGTAAAAATAAATAAATTGCAAGTTTCATGTTTACGGATCACATGTTGATCGTATCTTTTAAAAGAAAAGAGATTTGTGTGACGTCATTTATACTAATTTTAAACAATAGATGACGATATATCTAAAATTAGACACATAATATAATTTAAGTTGAATATACCACATCAACATGTCACTTGATTAAACCCAAACAAAAAAAAATATATTTAAACAAGGAATAAAAATAGACGACGCGTTGCATATGGCAAGTTGCAACTTTAATAGATAAGCCGTAACTGCTGCAAATGGTGAGGGGTTGCCCAAAGCAGCAGTTGTATCCAATCAGTGGGCAGGGCAGCCAAGGCAGCTTGTATAAGCAGCATACTTTGTTACACAACAGAGGACCAAAAGCCACTGCAAACTGCAAGCTCACTTTTTTAAGCCTGCATGCAGACTTTAATTGCATCCGCAAGTTGGCACGTTTCTCCTTTAAACAATATTATCAGCCTCTTCCTTTCTCTTCTGTCCGGCACCGCAGTTTCAGACTTAGAAGTTTGGAACCAATCACATAAACTTGCGCGGAGCCAGGATTTCATATTAAAAGGGGCTTTCAAATTTGAATAAGAGCGTTAAAGTGCCAATCGCTTAATAAGTTAATTCGACACTAATTACTCATTTTGGCCCATTTCATAGTATCATTTGATATAAATTAATAATATATACATTCGTTACAATCATAATTGTAATGAATTTTTTATTTATTTTTAGAAACATGAATTTTATATTTCAAATTCGTCTACACTACTTAAAAATTTATACTCCAACATAAAGAAGAATAAAAAATTAACCGTTAGAGTAAGTGATTGTAAAAGTAGTGTGTTGATTGGTTAAAAAGCCAAAGCCGACACTCACGTGCTCCTAACAATGTGGTTGGAAGTGTGTTGACGATTGAAGAGCAGGTATGATGTTTGCGCACTTGGGACAGTTGGAGGAGGCTCTGCAACCTTAACCCTTAATGAGCCCATGCATGTATGCACCAGCTGAATAGAAGTTTGGTTCACTTCATCTGAACACACAGAATTTGTATGTGTGGGGGCCAGAGGCTAAAATCCGGAATGTGTAATTGTCAAGATGTCATATTGGAAAAATAAAAGGAAAAGAAATAAATAAAAAAAGAATATACGGGGCATAAAGCTTTGCGTGAAACACGATGCCTGAATCCTGATGCGTTTATTTTGTCCCACTTCCCCATCAATCGGTTGCCTTCCCTTCTGTGCAGTAGGTGTAATTTACAACACAACACTTTACGAGTCGTCACTGAAATTAAGGCATCCAATCACTTTCCTGTGCCTATTCATGCGGCATCGTTTTATAGATCCTAGAAGCATCATCCATCCACATGCTATAACTACTATACAAATTTATAAATAAACCCAATCCTAGACATGTATTTATAAAAAAATCCAAGCACTATTTAAACATAGAAACAGACCTAAAATCAACCACAAAGTCAACTTTTTGGGTGTGTTTATAAATGGGTTTTAAGTGTGTGTAATGATGGGTTTTGGGTGTGTTTATATGTTTAAATAGTGCTTGGGTTTTTTTATAATTTCAACCCCCATTTTGGGTGTTTTAGTGAAACTCCCTAATTACTACTCATGTGTGATGTGAAATTGTAAGAAGAAGTGCGACTGTGAGAGAGAGAGAGAGAACATCAAGCATGCTTTTTTGATAGTTTGGAAAGTTAAGTTTGATACCCTGAATTTGGGAATTCGTCAAGAATCCTACTTGTAATTTTGTTTCTGTTTTGTTTATTTATTATAAAAAGCACATATTGAAAACAACTTGTGGCCTATTTGAGAGTGCTTCTGGAATGGCTAAAAGCGCTTTCTAATAACTAAAAGTATTTTTGACAGCGTTTGGCAGAAAACTTTAAAAGCGCTTATGGGTCATAGAAGCGCTTCCTGGAGAAGCACATGTCATGTGCTTCTTCAGGAAGCACTCCCAAGTGATTTTCCACGAAACACTTTAATTTTTATGAAAATTCAATATTTTTATAATAAAAGTGCTTTTGTTAGAAGCACTTATAAGCATAAGTACTTTCTAGAGAAGCATTCCTAAACGAGCCCTTAGACAACTCATATGTTGTTCCTTTTTTCCCCCCCTGGACTTTCATTTATCTTGAAAGGTATATTAGTACTTTCTTGATTTGTTCATCCTTCTCGCGAATTTCTCCTTAAGCTGATTAACCAAACGGTGACAAGTCGGTATCGTAAAAAAAACATAAAAATATATTCGCACATGCCTAATAATGTTAAGGGTTATCAGTCGAAAACTGAGGAAGGGCAACCTCTAGTGTTTAGGGGATTGTTGTGACCAAGGTCTAAAATATTGGTGATATTGGAAATATCGGTAGTCCAAAAATACGGAAATTTCGATGGAAATATTGAGATATTATCAATATCGATAAAAATTGAATAAAAACCACGGAAATTGTAAGAAAAACTTGAAATTTTTTATTGAAACTTTGGAGGATGCTTATTTAGTCAATTATATATTAGTTTATCACAAAAAATTGGAAGGAAATGCATTTTTATACAAATTAAGAAGAAATTGGTTTCAAGAGTCTCATTTTTATACGTCCCAACAAAAAATAATGATATACATGTGTGAACTTTGTCAAAGTAAGAAATGTAAGGTCCATCATTCCTTGCCTGTCCATGTCTCAATATTCAGAAGAATAAAGAACTTACCACTTGGACGCCTCAATACAAAATAAACCAAGGATGACTAATTTTACAAGAGGAAACACCTTGAATCCTATTTGTGTTCTTTTTCCTTTTGTTTTTCCTTCCCCCCCTCCCCCTTTTTTTTTTCTTCATTACATCGATATTTTTGATATTTTAGCGATATTGTAACAAAATATTGCTGAAGTGTGAGCAAAATTATCGACGTCGATATTTTCTGATATTATCGTCGATATTCTCAATATTTATATGATATGTGCATGGATATGTTTCGAAATATACGTGATTCGAAAAAATGATAATATCCTCGATATTTCGTTGATATTATCGATATTTTAGACTATGGTTGTGACAATTGGTAAGCTTCAAAACCCTAACTAGCTAGCTAGCTCCACTTTTTTTCAAGGCCATATTCATATGAACAACTTGAGGTGACCATTTAATGAGGCCAGGGTTTAGATTGTCAACTGGCTAATGATCCTCTAAAACATAATTTAGGCAGCTGCAACCTCCAATTTCACATGCATGTGATGATTATGGGGCCGGAATGGTAGACAATTGAGAGGCTTGACATATTGAATGGTACTAGTGGTTGTTGTTGCAAAGTAGGACCAACCGTCACACATGCAACGAAAATTTTGAGATGAAATATCTGAATCGCCGTCAAGAAATAAAAACAAATTGTCACAATATTTTCCTTTGGAAATTAATTTATTATAAATTGTGGGATTTGTCGGTTCATGATGACATCGCATTGTAGTAGCCCACGTGAGCCTTTTTAGATACTTAGAATAGAACCAGTATGCTGATTCTTCATCTTGAAGCCGACGGTGCGACCACGGACCCCCTCAAGGGTCAATTCACCCAAATACGAGCCGTCGGTCCATAATTCATAATATATTTATGTTAATAATTTTATAATATTAGGCTATTAGCCACCGCACAACCGGAGCACAAGGCGGGTGGTGTGCAGTGCACCAAGAGCGGTCAAGGATGGATTGAGAGTCAACGTCCGTGTAAAAGCCAAGTGGGTCCCGCTAGGGGTTTTCCATTGAGCTTGTTGTGTTGATATGATATGACCTTCGTAAGGTGGCTGGTAGTGAGTTGCCAGTCGTGTTTGATTTGACCCTGACTTGATGATTTTGGGGGAGTTTGTTGTTTGATTCTTCTGGTTGCAGCTGGGGTAGATTTAGACTTAAATTTTGTATGGGGCTGAATGCGATAAGAAAAGTTGGGCTCACAGCTGGCTTGTAGGTTTTGAATTTGATCAACCAACGATGGTTATGGGCTTACTCTTTTCAGATCTTTTGAGTTAAAGAAAATTAAAATCAAACCTGCGATCGCAATTTGATCCACTAATGACAATGTGGTATGGATGACGGCGAAAATCTATAGTATGGACATTCATATTAGCCGAATGATCATTTCATTAAACTTAATTGAAGTTACTATTCAGATGAATCTTGTGGCTAATATGAAGATCTATATATGACACCCTCATCGCAAAACGACTCATGAATGATGACCCTCAATTATGTGACTAAAGAAAGGAAAAGAATGTGTGGCGTAGAAGGAAATTGCACTTGCATGGAAGTTGATTTTTTTAGCTCCTTCCCAAAGTCCATAATTTGACTCTCATTTAAGTCAACATCTACGTATTTGAGAACAGCTTTGTATTCCAAACTCTCTATTCTTGCCTCTATGATTGATTTATTTTTTTAAGGGTCTCATACGACAATTCTTATGAAGGGGATGCTCCTTTTTTTCTTTTTCTTCTTCCCAACAAGTATTGTTCTTTTTCTTTTTTATCACACAACGACTATTGTTCATTAGACTTAAATGAAGGATTCTCCGACAAAGTCAAGACTAATGTCACTAGATCAAATAGTCATTAACCGCCGTCTCATATTTTTAGACTATATATTGCTATTATTTAGATTTTTTTTAATATAAATTAAAAAAAATAAAAAAAAAAAATAAAATTTAAAAAGTTAGAAATCAAGGCCATACGGTATCATTGGTCATCGTTGCAGCCCAAATTGAAACTCTAGGGTGGCCCATACAATAGATTCCGTCTGTTCTACTATCTACGCCCACAAGGTTTTCAAAACGTTTTAGCCACTCTCTGGTTTACAAGCCCAAGATTGATTGCCCATGTATATTCATCTTCTTTTTATCTATACAAGCGTTATTGAGGAAGAAAGGTTTTATCACACACACTATCAAAATGTCATAAAAGTTCGAACTTGAAATCACTGCTTTAGAAGTCAATGCCCCTTCTTTAGTATAAATTTTGGTTAGGAAGTTGCTGCTCAAATAGCGCTATTATGTCTACCGTAGTCCTATTTGAGAAGGATGCTACAATAATTGTCCCATTGGAGACAAGAGCACCATGTCTGCTTGCTGTACAAGAGAATCTTGCGCCTGGTCAAACTTGCAAAAGAAGTATGGTTCCCCAAAAGTGGAACTGGATTGACATGCCCTGATGAAGCAATGACTAAAGATTATAAGATCCTAATTATAATTTTTTAAACCAAACTTTATGTTCTGAATTTAGATTAACATACTTCAAAAGTTTGAAGCAGTCACAGTGTAGCTGAGCTTTCTCTGCGGGTCATGTTGTTCTGCCACAGTTAATGATTAATTTATAGCAAACCGCAATTGGATGAGAAAGGTGGTTGAAATTGAATGGAGTTGGTGGAGGGCAGTTGAGATAGTTAAGAACAGTTAAATACCCTCCAAAAACATTAACCAATCATCATAACACCACATTAATTTACCATAGCAAATTACAATCTTAACAAAACACTTTCTGCAGCGACAAGTAGATGCCGACGACAATGCCATTGAACAAAACAAACAAACAGCCTCAAACCTTAAAACCCAAAACTTAAATTACTAGTTTAAACTCAGCCCAACCAACCCAGCAAGCTAAAAACACCTGCATTTCGATCACCGTCTGCATCTGGCGATCCTAGAGCAGCCTCGGCTGTACGGATGAACAGGGCCTCTGGCTTTGAAGCAGTTGTGGGTGTAATAAGACCTCCCTGACCTTGGCGGGCAGGGGATGCGGTTGGCCGAGAGAGCCCCGTACGAAATGTAGTACTTCATTCTCCGCCAGAACAGAGATCTGCGCGCGTACCCATGTTCTATGTCCAGCTCCATGTCCTCGCCGCCGTCTTCCTCCTCCGCCTCATCGAGCTCGTCGTAGAGCGGTGACATTGTAGAACCAGGCCACTCCAGAGCCTCTGCCACCAACTTCAAGCTGGTCTCTTCAATCTGCGCGCTGACAAATGGACCCAAGTAGAGAAAAAGCAGGAAGAAACAGAGGAGGAGGTTGGGTTGGGTTGCAGAAGCCATGGAAATTCACAGAGAGAGAAAGTGGGGAAGTGGGTTTTTGTGGGTTTTTCAATTTGTATCTGAAATGATCTTATGAAAATAAATCTAAGGTAGATTTGGGGTTTACATTGGAGGCAATGGGGCCAATGGTCACATGTGAGAGTGAGCTGAAAGGAGCAGAATTGGGTTACAGCTGGGGTTCATCAATGTACCGGTTATAGCGTGTCTGGGTTTTCGTGTTTTATCGGTGGGGTAAGTTTGGGTGTGGCAGGATGTAGAGGTAGGGAGATTGAAGTTGGCGTGGGATTTGAGGGATATGGAACTTGAGCGGGGTCTACACGGAGTTGTGTAGTATGATTCGTCAGGTGTTTTGTGAGAGACCGAGGCGCGGGATATTATAGTGTTTGGGGTGTATAAGACAGGTTCGGAATACGACATTAAAATTTGGTGTTTAGTGTACGCGGCTGGTCGGTATATGTTGTCGTCGATCAGTTTTTTATATATATTTTTGTTTATTTATTTGTATTATTGTTTAACCAAGTAAACTTTTAAGAAAAAAGTTGGTCCTAAATTCATTAATATAAAAAGAAAACAATTTCCCTATTCCTTTGAAATAAAACAAATAGACTTAAGATTAGAAGGGAAAGTTGTATATAATTGGGAGCTTGATCATCTTTATTAGGAGAAGAACATAGCTTAGCTAAGCTTCTCCTTTGATTTGGGTTGCACTTGGTTCAACTTCCACCCTCCTAGTCCTAGCCTTGTTAGGGTGTTTAGGTCAAGCCATTTGGGCTAGTTTATCTTCTCTTGTTTTGGTTTGGGCTTTTGAGCCCCAATTTCAATTCTCTCCAAAAGAAAGTTGTATTAGAATTGTGTTTTTTTTTTTTTTTTTTTTTGTTTCTTTGCAAGCGATATTAGGCGAGGGGGATCTGAACACAAGACCTCGGGTGTAAGAATAACTACTCTTAAACCACTTAAGCTACAAGCGCCTTGTAGACCAAATGGTATGAAAACATGAAAAGATACAACGTAAAATCCATTTATGGGCTACAGAAAAAAAAAAAAAAAAAAAAAAACCATTTATGGTCTTGGGCTGAGTTTCTGGCCTCTGCCCAACAACATTGAGCAGTTATTAGAGGGGGATTGCTACAGATTGGCCCAGGCTCCTTTGCAACTAGTATGGGGCCTATAAATATATGAGCAGTGGGCTTTATAACCCAATAAAATATTGAGCCATATAATTTGCAAATATAACTGAATTTTGTGTAAATTATAATGGAGTCGCTGTGTCTTATTTTATCTTTCTAATTTTGTTTTTGGTATGATATATATGTCTTTATATATAATTGTTTAGTGCTTCATGCTTATCAGCACCATGACTTTCTGAAGATGAAGACAGGTCCTGTAGCTAAAGTGCCCATAGATAGACATCATTATAGCTCCAGATTAGCATGATTTGATTTGAACTCAGAAGTGGTCCATTCTATCTCATTGTTTTTATTATCACGGATTGCCTCACACTTCTCTCTTCTGTGCAAGAAACAAAGATAGCAGAAACTCGAAACAACCAACAACAACACACATGCGCTGCCCTAGTCTCAAACAGATGAGAGAGTAAGTATTAACAAGGGCAATGTTACTCGAGCACTTCCCTTTTCTCATTATGCATTATTTCTGCATGCCCGTTTAGTAATGATTTTATAGGAAACACTTATTCTCGTAAGTGTTTTTCTTAGAAGTGTTTTTATTAAGAAGGACGATGTTATTCGAGAACTTTCATTTTCTCATTTTGCATTCTTTCCACACACCCATTTAGGATTGCTTTTGTAAGAAACACTTGTGCTCGTAAGTGTCTTTCTTAGAAGCGTTTTTATTAAGAGATAGATAGAGCGTCAAAATTGTTTTGGTAAAAATCCAAATGATTCTTGAAAAATGTACTTTTATGACCAATAAGGATTTTATGCCAAGCGGAGTTTGAACATCAAATCAAGAACTTCCCCATTAGTAATCCATAATGGATGCAATTGCAAGCTATTAGGATAATTAAGACAAGGCTGGTGCATGGAGATTAAAGCCAGTTACTCTAGGCTGTGCCTAGCTATCAATCCCAAAGCAATGGGAGAATTAAAACCATGACCTGAAAAGTTTTAACGTGCAATACAAAGTTGGCTCTGCCAATTCACCAAAAGTGCATTAAAAAAAGCAACGGTTGATTTTTGTACTTTCTACAAGTTGAATTTTGATTTTGAGGGCCTTGTAGGCACCGTCACAAAGATTCCATACTGACTAATTTCAACAAATACGGCCCGAAAAGCACTTGTGTTGCTTTCAATTATCATCAATAGGTAAGAAAAAGGTTTCTTGAGCAATAATGTTAATATGAGAACTTCAAGCAAGACAATCTGAGAGGAAGCAAATTCAACAGTAGCTGTTGGCCTGTGCAATTGAGGTGCAAAGTAAAACTTTTTTCTTAAATGCTTTTAGGCTCAAGAATATCTTAGAGAGACAGAGAGAGTGATAGCTTGTACTGAAAATTGGGACCACTTTCTGAGCAATTTTATTATCTGCTCAAGATTCTTTTCTGTTGATAGCAATTGTTTTCTCTTTCTCACTCTCCAATCTTCTTTTTTTTTCATAACCTATACACCAACTCTCTGAAGCAGAGGAGGCAAGGTTAAAATCTTAACATCTGTTTTACAGAAGAGAGTATATGCATGCATGCATCAGAACCATCCAAAAAAACCCAACAAGAAGAGAAAAGAAAAAAACGAGAAAGAAAAAAGCATGAGTAATTCTGATATGGTAGGAAATTGTAAAAAGAAAAAAGTACCCAGAAAACCCAACAAAAAAGATGATGTCATGTGGTAGAAATTTGGAGTATTGACTGAATGGTTTCTGTTCTCATCATGGAATGCAAAATTCCCTTTCCAACTTTTGTCTGTCTCGCACTGTGCTCAGTTTTTCAAGCCAGCAATCTCCATCTGCTTTTATATCACATCAGATTTACTAATCTTAATTAGTTACCATGTCCATGGAAACTGCGAAGGGTTTGCTCAGTATAAAGTTTGTTGCTATTACTTAGCAAGGAAGAAGACATTTAATATTTTTACCAGTTGGTGAGTTGTTTGAGGGGCTAAGGTGTAAGCAACAACCATCACCGTCAGTTCCTAATCCACCTTGGGAAGTGTGCCAAGACCAAACGGCAGCAGTGCACAACAGGATCAGGATACCACAAATTACAATTCCACCCCCAAGGTGGAAGAATACCGCACAAGTAGGCCCCAACCCCACTTCACCCCAAAAACACTTTCTTATCCCGGTTTCATTGTCACCTTCCTCCTATTTCTCTCCGAATGTCACTTATTAAAAAAGGAGAGGTATAGGACTTTATCCATCACTTTTTAAAGAAAAAAGAGATAAAAAGAAGGGGCAATAAGACGAGGTTACGGAAGTATTTCTCCACTTCACCCACCAGAATATGTCAACGCCGGTGACTTATTCCGGTGACAGGCACATTCAATTGGGTATTAATATTTTAAAGCTGGTATAGCTAAACTCTGGGAGGCTGAGGGGTTATGTTATTTTATTTTCTGACACATTTCATGTGACTGTGGGTACCGAATTCATCTTTTTGTGTTCATAAAGTAAATATTTTTTAGGCAAAGCAATGGCCTTTCAGTCAAAGAGATCATATAGTTCATGCACCTTCATTCAATTAGTGCTCTACCCTTAATCTGATATACTCTTGCATCTTTGACCATTTGTTTGATCAGAACCAAATGATCGGAAGGTTGATGTGAATACTTCAATGAGATAGCCCTACATGATGGGCGGTCTCTATCATATGCATTAATGCATTCATAAATGAGTTTTCTTGAGATTTTTCTATAGGTTTCCATTGATATATATATATATATATATATATATATAAAAGTCACGCAAATATTCACAACTTGCTATATAAAGTCCTTCCCACTTACAAGTTAAGCCTGCTGGATTCTGTAATTGGGGTTTTCTCAGTATTTAAAATCATTCTCAACTTTCCTTCACTATTTTATTCACTTGCTTTCAACTTTCCTCCATCTCCTTATCCCTGTCACTGCACAACACATCTCATATATACAACCCTAAAGTCCCTCCTCTCTCCTCAGCTCCCCCATACCTCTGTTTTCTCTGTTTCTCATCACATTATTTCCAGTCTGTGTTCTGCACCCACTTCCCCATCTTTCAATAGAACTGTGTGTGTTTGTGTGTGTGAGTGGGTGGTTTAAGAAAAAGTCTGGGTGGCCATGGATGTTGACATGCTAAAATCATCATCATCATCATCATCAGCAGGTGATGATCATCATCACCATCATCACATGGACATGATGACAATGATGATGCAAATGCAAATGCAAAAGCAGCAGTCTCCTGATCACTTCTGTGACTCTTACCACAACAGCAGCAACCCCACATTTCCAGAGATAGATTTCACTTGGGGATCAAACTCAAACTCAAACATCACCAACAACATTGAAACAATCTCATCTCTCCCCATTTTCCACAACCCAAATGCAGTTTCTTCACAACATTCACAGCCCACGTTGATAAACCCTGCCTTGCCCTCCTCTGTTTCTTTCATGGGAAACCAAATTCAGGAGCCCCTCACCCCAATGCTCATCAAAACTAGCCCTCCTCCTACTTCATATGAGAAGAGAAACTCCATGGCTGCAATGAGAGAGATGATTTTCAGAATTGCAGCAATGCAGCCCATTCAAATAGACCCCGAATCGGTGAAGCCCCCGAAGAGGAGGAATGTTAAGATTTCTAAAGATCCACAGAGCGTGGCAGCGAGGCACAGGAGGGAGAGGATAAGCGAGAAGATTAGAATTCTGCAGAGACTTGTTCCTGGCGGGACTAAAATGGACACAGCTTCTATGCTAGATGAAGCTATACATTATGTGAAGTTTTTGAAGAAACAAGTGCAGACTTTGGAGAGAGCTGGGGCAGATAGACCGATTGGTATTGGCTTCCAAGGG